CTCTCTCTCTCTCTCTCTGTGTGTGTGTGTGTGTGTGTGTGTGTGTGTGTGTGTCTCGCTCTCTCTCCTCCTCCCCCCCCTTTTAAAACGCTCGAATAGAAAGATATCGTCTGCCCACGACTCTGTCCTCCTTCCTCACAACGCCACCCATTGGAGTACCCACAGCAGAGGCAAGATCTGTGTACAGCACCTATGGACCATAAATCGAGTCTATGATGATGATGATGACGATGATACCCGGCGTCCAATAAAGGATGTCCTCTGTCGTCGAGCTCGCTGGTCTGGTAGAGACCGATGCAGACTCGATACGAAATGCCGGTTCACATGCATCAGTCGTATAGATCAATTATTTCGTCATGCTCCCTGCAGAAGGACAAAACTAACACCGGATAAGAAACGGTAAATGACGACAAGAAAGAGTAAGAAAGGGCAAGAAGGGACAACACCCGATAAGATGATCGCAACAATTGCACAGTGAAAGAAAGAAAGAAAGAAAGAAAGAAAGAAAGAAAGAAGTGAAGAAGCGGGGGCACTGAGTTCAGTCCTCTGCAGCGCAACTCCAGTTCAAATTTGCGTATCAACCGAGAAAAAGATGACGCCCCACGAAAGAGATGCCGCCGCCGCCGCGCTTAACGAACTTAGCGAAAAGATGCCGCCGCCGCCGCCGCGCTTAACGAACTTAGCCAAAAGATGCCGCCCCACGAAAGAGATGCCGCCGCCGCCACGCTCCTATCTAAAGAGGGGGGGAGAGGGAACAGAGCATCAGCATCACTCCCTCTCTCCCGCATTCCTTTTCTCTTTCTTCATCATTGTATGTGTGCCATTTTTTTCTTTCAATGACAACGCTAATTCTTTTTTTCTCTGTATGTTCCAATTTTGACGAATGTACTGGTGCTGGTGGACATCATCTGATCAAATTGGGACATCCTCTAAAATTGGACCGTCCGTTCGAATTGACACAGAGAAGACTAAATGTGAGCAGCGACACTGAGAAGATTAATGAAATGGCTGCGCATAAGTAGAGAGAAATGGTCCAAATTTGGGTGGGGGGGGGGAGGAACAGGCGTTGAAATTCGAGATGTCGAGCATCGGCTGACATTGGACCGACAGAGTTAAGATTAAGGTGACTCCTGCTGCTGTGCATTCTAAGATGAGCCGTAGAGCTCCAGGGTAAACATTTTTAGCATAAAAAGGAAAGACTCCGAGGCTCTCACATCTCCCCAATAGAAGATCCCAATTCAAAGGAAACGCAGAAAAGAAAAAGAAAAAAAAGTAAGACGAGAAAGAAGAGCTGAGCAGCTCTGTGATCAGGGGGCAAAACGAGGAGAAGAGCGGTAATGATGAAGAAGACACAGAACAAGACTGCGAAGACGTTGGAGATAGAGAGACCGAGAGAGCGAGAGGGCGCGCG